ATTTGTGAGTCATTTCCTTGGAATCCTACCTTTGGTGTTTATTTCCCTTAGAAGGAAACTTGTAAAAGAATAATAATAGCTCTCATTCTTCGTGGAAAGTAGCACACAGCAAAGTGGGAGACAACTCGCTCTTTGTTCCAACACACTTTTTTGTTTGTTTTGTTTACTTTCCTCAGCAGACAAAAAGTGAAGAAGGCAACATAATTAACCCCATAAACAGTCTAATTTATGGTGCCAGTGACAGGCCTGTGCTGCTGCGCTGGAGTGAAAGTTAAGTGGGGAAGCGGTTTTAATTGGTACCTCTCGTGCGGAAGAAGTGAGGAGAACTGCCTTGTGCCTTGGGAAGTCTCCTTTGCTTTTTCAGCCCTGCCCGGCTGCTGAGGCCCCTTCTTCTCTCTGCCTTCAGTCCCAATAACAACATCTAGCACCTATTCTGTGTCAAAACCCATTGCAAAGGTTAACTAATCATAACTACTGTCACTTGGAGTTGGCAGCAACAGGAGCACCTTTTAACCTCAGGACACCGAAGTGTTTTGCAAACTGAACTCCCGCTGAGCTGAATGGATCCTGGACGGAGCTTTGTATGTCTTGCTGGGCCACGCAGCCACCAGCGGGGTGGAGGCAGAGAGCATATTTTGGCTAAGAACACTGGAAAAAACATTTATGCTTTCTGAAATAAATACCATGGGGCTTTATTGTTCTCCTAGAGCAGGCAGGCGAAGCAGCCGTCAGGAGATGGCTGCAGTAAACTTGGTGTCACCTTTTCTCGTAGCTGCCAGAGCACCGTGGCAAAAAAAACCTACATTGCAAATTGGCTTGTGTTTTCATATATTTGCAAAACTTCTAGCACAAACTGTAACTGTTAGAACCACCATTTAAGAGTTCATTGCATATGGGCTACCAAGGGTACTGATAGATGACATACACCTACAAAGAAATGAAAGAGGAAACCTCTTCTCTGTGGGTCTAGAAACCTCCTCTAGTTCTGCTTCACCAGAGAAAGCACAACTGCTAGGACTTCAAAAGAACATTTTCTTTTCTATTTCTTTCTTTTTTTTTTTCTTTTCACTCTGAAAAAAAATGCTTGCTAAGAAAATCTGGGGACTCTGACAAATTGGGATAGAGTAACTAATTCTTTCTGGGAAGAATTCAACGGGGACTCTGACAAATTGGGATAGAGTAACTCCAGAAATTCTTTCTGGGAAGAATTCAAATGCAAAGTATGAAAAGAAACAAAATTAGCGTGTGGGAATTAGGAAAGTTAGAGAAATATTTGCTTGGAATTCTGTCTTGAGAAAGAGACACTCAAGCATCTGGAGTTGTATAATCTAAATTAGGACAGAAGTTAAGTGAAGATACCTTTGAAACACTTTCATGGAAGGGCTGTATCTTGACACAGAAATCAATTTCTGATTTCAAATTAATTCCTCTCCCACCAGACAGTGAGTCCAACTCCAGAAAAAGAAGGGGGAAAAAAGAAAGCAAGAAGAAAAAAACAGTGGGTTCCTTGAAATTCCCTGAAGCGAGGGCCAAGAAACACAGGGAAAAACACTAGACTTGGCAGGTCTATAGTTTATCTATACCTCCGAAGGATGAAGAGCTGAATTGACCTCATTGGCACACAGACCTGTTGTTCTACCAGTCTAGTTATTTCAGCCAGCCTTAACCCTTTCACGTCACCCTTTCATGCTTGTGCTCGATGGCGTTATACATGTTTCTGATACAAGGTGCGGCTGAAGGAACAGAAAATGATCGTTGCCCGGAGCCCACGCTGCCTCGCTGCCACCCATCCTCATCCCCTCTTCCCTCTGCCACCTCCCTGCCACCTCCAGTTTGGGCCTCAGCATCTCCCACTCTGTGGGCCGGGGACCACCCTGCGCTGGTGCAGTGAGATACTGCCGTTCTTCTCAGCTATTTTATATCAACAAGAGAAGGAAGATCTCTCTCTCTCTCAGTTCCCAACCCATGGGGTCTCTTGGAAGTCCAATTTTCAGTTTAAATCCAGCATGGCCAATTCCAGATGCTTTCCCAATTCTTTCAGCCTTGCTGCTCGCCTTGCCTCCACAGCCCTGATTGCAGGGATTATCTTTGACTCTTTGCTTTCATTTACTGTGATTCGACTGCCCCAACAAGCTGCCATTCATTGTCCCCCGTGTTCCCACTGCTTCATTCATAATGTTACTTATAACTCCATGCGTATCTACCCAGAACAACAAACGTTTTAATCGAGGCCCTCGTTATCTCCCATCTCTGTTTGCAACTTCCTCCTCCTTGAACTTGTGACGTATCAGCCAGTTTGATCTGTTTAAACACAAGCTCCCAACATCCTCTTCCATGTCCACCGCTGTGGCCAGAGCCAATCTGCCTCCTGCCTTTCCTCCTCACTTGTCTGCATTTAGTCTTTATTTTCACATGTTCAGTTGTCGCAGCTCCACCTTAGCTGCCATCGCTCCACCATTGTCTCCACTGTCCAGATCTGCTCCCTTTGCTGGTGATGCTGGTGTCCTCGTGCATTTATCTCCTTCTCCCAGGGGAGCCTTCATGCCCTCTTCCATGATGCTTTTGCCCACAGGATGCCCTGCCTCCCTCAGCTAAGCGGTTGATACCAAACTTTGTTGCAGCAGCCATGAAGGGCGGATAGTTTACAATGAGGTCAGCCTGGAATCTGTTTGCATGCGATATAGTTGGGTTTTGTTGTCTTTGATGTACGTAACACCAATCTGGGTATGAGATTGTGCTTTTCCCCTTCCCCTCCCCGGCTGTCCCTTGCTTTGGCAGCGCGTGGGTCTGCGCAGCCTGCCTGCAGCGCTCCTGCGGCGGGGTCGCCCATGGCTTCTGCGCTGTACGTCGTCTGTACCGCCAGAAAGGTAACAGCTACCAAAACGACAGCAATTTTGTTCCCTAAGCGCTGCAATCCAGATGTTAGCAATGCTATAGTACAGTTAAGGAACGCTATTCTCTCCTCAAGTTGTGTTGTTATGCAATGGAAGCGCTCCAGAATATACGATTAAAGACGGAAAGCGCGGCACTACTCAGGTACAAGCCCAGGAGTTAGGAAAGGGATAGCCATCTTAAGTCTATTCCCTTGTCTTTATTGATCTTGGTGAGACCTGCAGCATTATAGTCGCAGACATTTTATATTTAAGTTTGGGGTTTTAGAGGCGTTCTGGAACTGTATAAAGAGCCCTTTTCACTGACATGGCATCAGGCTTGTTATAATGTGAATGGCATCATTACAGTTCTCTCATTAACATCATAATGGCTCTGGAGGAATAGTGAGTGAAAACCCCAGCAAATGGAGTAGCGTAGCAATGTATAGTAGTCTTACTGTGTAAAACTGCATACGGAAAAAGTTTGACATTTTAACCTTCAGGCTGCTGTAGATGCCTCGGGGTGTCCTCACGCTGCATGCATTTGGCTGACAAAACGGAAAAATTGTGGTAGCCTAAGGATGGAGGGCTGGGTTCAATAAAATCCTGTGCCTGGCTTCCATGCCACTGAAGCCCACACAAGGCTCCCAAATGGATTTTTCAAAATTGAATCCAGCCCTAAGTGTCAACCTTTTGCTGTAATTTTGTATAGTAAATGTATTGTATGCTCAAATGTACATCTTTCATCCTTTATTTCCAGTGGCATTAATGGCAATGTAACAATGCGGGTGCTGTTCTGCAAAGTCTCATTGAAACGAACCGGATTTTGGATGAAATCCCTCCATTGCATACGATAATGTAATATAAATGGGTTGGGCTTACAGCTGGAGGACGATGAGATCTGGTTCTATTTCTGGCTCTGACACTGATTCGCTGCGTGACTTCTGGCAAGACACTGGGGAGTGGATTTTGCCACCCTTAACGGGGAAAAACAGTAGGTTGGCTCTTCGGGAGCTCTGCCAGAGGTCCTGTTTAGGGAGCCAGGTTCGGCAGTGCTTTCTCAGTAAATACCACCTCGTACTTCAGGCTTTCAGTGTTGCCGTGTCCAACTTTGCCTTCGGGGAGGCTGACTTTTCCCACGTGCTGAGTACTCGCCGCTCCCTTCCCGCTCCTTTGGAAATCAGGGCTTCTGAAAATCCAATGGGAACAAATAGCATGCCCAGAGTCACAAGCCCTTCTCAAAGCCTGGTTCTCAGCTTCTGTCTGCCGAAGCAATTCCTTCGCTACAAAATGGGCTTTATTTTGTAGCTGAGTGCCACCCATATGGTTTGGGGCATTGATTTTCTGATTGTTTTCTTTTTTATCCGAGGGAGGCTCTATTACTTACGCCTTGTTTTTATACAGTTTGGAAACACAGAGAATGCACGTGGACGGTAGCTGTTTATAGAAGTTAACTGGCCTGCCTCTATTAATTTTGCATGTTGTAAATAGCAGAAGCAGTTCATTTACTTTACTGGCTGCCCAGAGAACTCGGTTTTTCAAGATAAATCAGCAGCACTGAGCAGAAGGCATCCCGACACTTCCTTCCTTTCTTCCTTCCTGTGTGTTTCTGCTTAAGCATAGAAAGACCTATTTGGGATGAAATATGTAAAAAGAAAAAAAAAGCCCAGTCGAAATCTCCGTTTCTCATAAAAAAATTCCACAAAGAGATGCTGAATTCATTACGTGCAAAGAAATCCTGACTTTTCCAAAGCAGCAGCGAGTTTCTTCCAACCCTTATTCTCTAAGGACAAACACTGAGTGTTGACATCATGCCAACACAAGAAGATTGATGTCTCCCCGTGAGTGATTCCTCAGTGCAGATTAATGAGAAGAGTCCGTGGGTGCTTTCTAATGATGGCGTAATCTTTTCAGCCACAAAATACATGACTTCTTAGCTGGTTCTCGGGCCGCTTTTTGGCCCTGCTCTGAGGTCAGCAGGCTGACCCACTTGTTGTTTTGACCAGTCTTTCCATGTGGCAGTACTCAGCTGGTAACAAAAGCTGTGGGGAATAAATAATATATACTGGGTGTGTCAGGGAGAGCTTCCAATGGGCCAGCCTAGTGGCTTCTTTGCCCAGGAAAAGCAGGATGGCACTAACGGGCTACTGCAAGAAGGTGGCCGAGGGCCACGTGCAGTGTGTGATGAGTGAAGTGATTGTGAGGAAGGGGTTTAGGTATGATGGCAGCGAGGTCTGGTGGCCTTCACCAGGGCAAATGGGGATTTAGTAGGGCTCAGGGATCTCCCCTTCACCTCCCATTTTCTGCCCCGTTGAGGAGCCGGGGGGCAGACCCACAGGGGCATCCAAGGAACAGCGAGCGTGCGTGTGCTGGAAGCCCATTTCTTAATAAAGTAGCAGCCTTGTGCATTCTTCCAGGATTTAAGAAAACAACTGGCAGATGTGAATGATTTATTTTTCCTCCCTCTTCTGCTGCGGTTTATTTTTTCCTCTTGTTAGCGAGCGCTCAGCTGCTAACACAAACAATCGCTGAAATTCCACCTGCCCACCTGCGGCCCCTCCTTCTCGCTGCTTCCTCGGGCCCTCGTCTTCCTCCCGGAGGGGCTGCACCGAGGGGAACCTACATCCCGCTTTCTTAGAGAGAGGAGGAGGAGGAGGAGGAAGGAGAGAGAGGGAGGGAGGGGCCGGGCCGTGTCTGGGCGCATTGTTCCGCGCTCCTCTGCCAAGAAGTAGGTGACTATGAACTCATCCCTTGC